AGCTCACGGCGCCTACACAGAGAGCCTGGTGACGGGCCAGTGCCGAGGCTAAGGCGAGAGCAATGAGCCTTCTGCTCTTACTCCTGTCCTCAATTACTGAATTTTCATAAGGTTTGCCATTCACACCAGGGAGCTGAGCTTAGCACATGTACTTTCCTAAGTGACCAGCTGTCATCCGGGAATTCTAGAACTGAAAGGTTAAATGTGAGGTTAAGTGAGAAAAGCAGAGTGAAAAATGACCTGTATGCTGTGATTACTTTAGATACATATTTTTAGAAAAAGATACATTAAGAACACAGAGGAAAAATAAAAACAGTTGTAAAGGAATTTTCTCCCCCCCCCCCCCCAAGTTGTGTTATGTGGCTATAATTTGTACGATGAATGTGCATTCATTTATTTTTAAAAGTGCAATGGTGACACCCCGTGTGGACGGCTGTGACATTGTGGACAGCTCTGTGCCCAGGGGCAGACACAGGCTCTCTCTTCAGGGCAGTGTCCGCCCCCCCCCCCCCCCATCCCCTTGGAGTCTGTCCTCAAGGCCAGTAAGGACAGTACAGGGATGTGGCCTGGGGCAGCAGTGGGACAGAGCTGACGTCATTTTGACATCCATGACCATCCATGATATCCAGGGTCTCGTGTCCTCTGGAAGTGCCTCTCCGTGTCAGTTGTCACCTGGAGGGATTAAGAGGGACTTTGGGGCCAAGGACCAGAGTCCGGCAGGCGACCCTGGGAGGAGCAGCATCTAGAAGGGCCGACTCAGTCTGGGCAGTGGTGCCCTGAGAGTAGGCAGCCCCTACTCTCTCAACAAAGGCCACCCGACACCTTGAAACACAAAATATTCTTTTATTTGTCAACAAAGGCTACACGGGGTCACTTCTGGTTTTGTATTTTATGCCTCTTTTTTTTTTTTCTAGAAGGTATCTACATCTGCATTTATGTACAGCCTTGTTGGTATTTACACAGTCAGGAATACAGTGTTAGAAACACAAATGTGTTGAGAAAAAAATTTCTCAAAAATGAGTTCCAGACTTCAGGAAAACTAGTTCCGCATGGTAAGGCCAGAGTCTCCAGTGTTGGTCATCAGAGGCAGCTCGGAGAGTCCTTCTGCCCAGGCTGCGGGTTCAGGAGTCTTCGAGGACAGGCAGGTTCAGAAACGTGGGATTCTGGGGCTGGGTGAATCCTGGGCTCGGGGCGCCGCCTGACCTCTGGGACCCAGCTTCCCACAGGCTAGCCGGGCTGCCCGGGAGTTGGTTCTCTGTTGGCAGTTTGCCCTCAGAATCAATCACATTTTCTTGGGGACCCAGGGGTGGCCCAGTATCATGCTTTTGGCATCCCAGAGGGGGTAAGAAACCCAATGTTGGCCCCACCTAGGCCTCCCCCCGCTCTGATCTTCCACATTCATGATGAAACCTAAGAGCTCACCGCTGTCTGGGGCGGTCAAGTACACAAGGCTGGTTTTTGAGAATGTAAAAAAGGGTAGAGAGGATAAAGTTTCGATCACCTGAGCAATGAGTCTTTAAAATTAGAGTTTGCTGTTTTCTGAAGGTTAAATGAAAGGGCCTTGAACTCCAGAGTTCTTTCTTTGAATCCCCTCCTCTCCAATAAAAGAGAGAGGAGTGTATAAACCTAGCGGGGAATTATGGGCATTCGATGGAGTCCCAGTGAGGACCCCAAGGAGGCCCTGGGCTCCTTCTGAGATCCCTCAGGAGATGGGCTCCCCCTGGGGACCAGGGGTAGTAGCTGTTGTGAGGAATGAAGAAAAGAATTGACTTTGAATATCAGGAGCTCAAACCCCAAAGCTGGGGACCTCGCTGAGGCCTGGCAAGCTCCTTCCTCCTGGGCCCAAGCTCAGCATCGCTGCTCTCGCCACGTGGTAACCCCAAACCCAGGCTGCAGGTGCGAAACTGGTTCTAAGATTTCACACTGAGAGCCTCGCCTCTGCATAATGGAAACTCCTGCCCGCTCCACAGGTGGCACTTAAAAGTCAGAGCTGAAAAGGTCCTTTCTTTTTTAAAATTAATCTGACTCCTTGTTATGTGTCTATAAAACCACGGCCCAGTTTTCCTCACCTTTGGCTCCCAGCCCCGCCCCATCCTGATGACTGGCAGGCACACCTCCTGGCCATGCTCAGCCTCGGGTTGGTTTCTCAGGGATTGTTCCAAATCCAGAGCTGTGTCTGGAGCGTGGGTAAAATGGAAATCTTATCCAATAAAAACAAAGTTGGGGTATCACAAAAGTCCTATTCCAGGCGATGGCAGAGGGCTGGCTGAGGGTGAGGAGCTGGAGGCAGCTGCGAAGAAGGGGGAGAACTCTTCCAAGGTAAATTTTATTCTGACATCCTGCAGAGTCATGAACCTGGGCCCGTGAAGGGTGGCTGGTGGCTCCAGGGGATGGACACATTTTGGCTGAGTGGTACTAAAAGGGCAGGTGCCATCAAGGTTGGGATTTGATGCCTGGAGGCCACTAAACAGGCACAGGGACCTCTGGCTCATGCCTTCAGATTCCCTCTTGCTGTGAGGGTGGGGTTGCTGGTCTCAGCAGGAGGACAGTCTGAGAGGGGACACAGAGAGTCACCTGCCAGCCCAAAAGGAAACCAACTCTGAACCAGCCAACAAGACCAGGGCCAGAAGCACGTCTCCAATAGCAACAGCACTGAAGTGAACCAGGTGCCTGATGCTGTCTACTCCTCACCTGAGATCCTGTCCCTAAAGCCTGGGGTGCTTCAGCTTCTCCCTGCACAGAAGCTGGGCTGCCTTGGTGGTAGGCAGCCCAGGAAAAAATAGAACACCAATCATTTAAAGAAAAGGAGTGATTCTGTGTTTTTGATCTTTAAAAGTCCACACTATGACTTTGGTGGGGGTGCTGGTGAGGTCAAGTGGTTGGGGAGATGCAGGGAGATGGCTCCCTTGGCCCTCATGCTGTCTCTGGCCTCCAAGTGGACGTTCCCAGCAGGTCTTGACTGATGTCCGGCAGCCAGGATGGAACGGATCAACTGGGCCTACTGAAGGAGAGCTTTGTCCACGGGCCCCTATGGCAAGAGTACGTTTGGAGAGGAAGAAGCCCATTTTGCATAAAAAGCCGTGTTCTGCAGCCACGCTGTTTTCCATCCCCTCTGAGAAGGCTCCTGCGGGATGGAGCCCACCCCCAGCTCCCGCCCTGTACAGTGGACCCGAGGAGCTCTGTGTCTGACTTGAGCCACCAGTGGACCAACAGGCCTCGGCGCCCTGTCGCAGCGGCATGACTTTTTTTTGGAAACAGGAAGAGCACTTAGCGAAACACATCCTTTGATCCCAGTGGGATGACATAAGGCGAAACCTCCTATCCCGAGAAGCTGTGGGTGCCTCCCTCTGCCAGGCAGAGCCCGGGCTCCACGCCGCTCCGATTCTCATGCAGTGAGAGACCTTCTTGGTTTCATTAACTTGTGTAATATTCTGAAGACTCTGTGAGTAAGGCCATAAAGGTGCCATGAGCTTATCAGTCCAACAAGGTTGCCACGGAGAATAGCTCAGACTCAGAATTCATTTTCCACACTTAATGTAAATGTAACCCATAACAGTCCCGTTTTCTAAGAAGCCCAGCTCCACGGGAAGCCTGTGGCTTCCCCTCCTGGTCTCCCAGAGCTTCCTGTGGGTGGCGGTGATGATGATGGTAAGTGGGCAGATGAACCAGGACCCAGAAGCTCCCAGCTCTTGCTGCCTTACCCTCCCCTCCATGTTTCCTCTGGCCTGGCTGGCTGCTGCCTCTCCCCGGCTCTGCCCTCCAGGTATGGGTTGTACCCACTCCTGACAGGGTTGGAGCCTCCTCCCAATGACCTCAGGTATCAGTATGTCTGCACAAGGAAAACTTCTAGGATCCATGGGCACCAGCCTCAGGAGCGGCCCTCAAACCTGGCGGGGTTGCGTGACATCACCAGGCCGCATCAAAGCAGCTCTTTCCCTTCTTCCTTTTCCCTCTTTCTTTGAAGCCATCATTGGGCTCCTCTGGGGTTGGGGGGGGGGGGCGGGTGCTGTTTTAGAGTAACTTCACGGGAGGAGTTTCCCAAACGCCTCTCCTGCTGCATTCCGTTCTGCAGGAGCCCATATGGGGAAGCTGGTTAGAGGGAGGCTTGGCTCGCGCCTTCCTCTCTTTGGCTGACTTTTTCTTAAACATCGTTCCAGAATCAAAGGCCACCAAGCACCTCTCTCCACACTCCAATGTCTCAGTGGTGGCAGCTGAGCAGTGGCGGGAAGGCGCCCAGCGTCGTGGGGAGAGGGCTTCACCTAGGAAGGCATGCTGGTACCCGTGCCATCATTGCCATCTTTTGCCCTGGGTGGCCTTCCCCTCCTTGGACATGGTGCCCACACTGAGGGCTTGCTTTGCAGTGCTGGTTCTCACGTCTGACTTTGGGAGAGAAGAGGAGATGAATAAGGAACATCGTGGGAGGACCAACCAACCACAGTCGTCCTGGAGGACGAGGCTCTTAGTCCCAGGATGTTATGTCACCAGACTGGGGGAAAGGACCTGGCAGACACTTTCTCCATCCCAGCCTGCGGGTGGCACCAACAACTACACAGGATTTGCAAAAAGGGGCGGGGCTTTTCATTTAGCATCAAAATATAAAGCTTGAGCAGGAGTTTGGGGCAGCTTGAAAGAGGTGCTGAATGACATCATGAAACGCCCCCGGAGAAAGATGAAGCCATCTGTGGTTCTCCGGAGGCATGGAACACAGTGAATAAAAAGCCACCACTCATCTGCGGGAGCTTAGCCGGGGATCCTCAGGTCCGGCAGACCCTCCTTCCAGGGCCCCTTAGAAGTTTGGTGCTGGCCTGTTACCTGTACCCCTCACTCCTGCCCGACGCCCACTGAGGAAAGGGTTGCACATGAGACAAGTTAGCACAGACATTCGCGTCTCACATCACACTGGGTACCAAGGGACAGACAAGGACACATCCCAAGGAATGCGTCTCAAAGAGAAGAAATGTACCCCAAACAACAAGGAAAAATCCTCAAGGAAAAGGGAACAAAAGACAATAAAGTTTTCATTGTGATCACACTACAGAAAAAAAATACCTTCTGTTCTTTGCAAAAAATGTGTGAAGGCCAATTTTGTGTTTTTCTTTTCTTAAAAAAACGAATGTTGCATGAGTTACAATGCAACCAGTATCTTTTTTTTTGTTTGTTTCTTTTCTGCACTTGTTTAAAAAAAAGTAATTTTTTTTTTTTTTTAAAGTACAACACAGTCAGGTGTGCGGCCACAAAAGAGCAGCTGTCTTTGGCAAGAAGTCCGGGCCGTGGTCCTCTCTGTCACCTGCGGCCCATCTCGCTCTGTCTCATGAAGTGGATGTTGTTGGCGCTGTCTGACAGTTCTGGGTACTGCTCCACGGAGATCACGAAGAAGCCATCGTAGCCTTGAACCCGCCCTGTGTCCAGCACCTGCTGCCTCTCCCCCTCTGTCCAGGCCCGCAGGCCCTCCTCCCCTTCCCGCAGTCGCTGCTGCTCGCGGGCCCACGCCCGGCGCACGGCTCTCTGCCGGGCCAGCTCCAGCACCCGCGCTTTCTCCTCATCCAAGGTCGTCCCATAGCGGGTGTTCAAGCACAGGGCCCCGTACTGGAGCTGAATGTCTGTGTAGCGTCTAGTCCTGCCATTGAGCATCGTGTTGATCTGGGACACGGTGACGTTGACCCCGTTCTCCAGGGTTCGCCGCCCCCCGCTGAGGCCCAGGACGGCCAGGTCGCCTTCCGAAGGCCCTGGTTTCACAAAGTAGTGGGTGTCCACCCCGCCGATGGTGAAATGCAGGTCCTCCAGGTAGTGGGCATTGTTCAAGATGGCGGCAACCCTCCGCCCGTCCTCGTTGGCCACACTAATGATGTCTGTGGTCACGCGGCCATCCTTCAATGCAAACTTGACCCCCTTGCCAAAGACTGAGCCACTGGATGCAAACTTCTTTGTCTTTGGGGCCTGCTGGCAGCTGGTGATTGTGGAGCCATAGAGCTGGTCAAAACGTTCTAGGGTGACGAAGGCCTTGAGCTGCTTTTGCACTTCACACTGTACACCCAGGATAGACTGATGAGGGGAGAGAGAGAGAGAGAGAGAGAGAAAGAGAGAGAGAGAGAGAAAGAAAAAGAGAGTGAGACAAAGGGAAAAAAACCAAAGCCTAGAGAATCAGTTTACATAACTAAGTCAAATCTATATTTGGCTCTACTCCTGATCACTGGAACATCCAGCCATCCTCTCTCCATCCCTTCACCCATTCAGAAACTGTTCAGGGAATATCTTCTCTGTGCCGGGTCCTTTCCTGGGCACCGGAGATACAACAATGAATCCGATGCTACCCTACCCTTGAAAAACTCATCCTTTAATGGGAAAGACAGATATGCCAACAAACAACTGCAGTCAAAAGTGATCCCTGGTGGCCTCAGAGCAGTAATAGCTGTAGCTAACATGTCCTGGTCTTTGAGAGAAATAATTCACATTTATTGTCTCATTTCATCTCCACAATAACTTCATATATTGGTACTGTTAGTATCCTGACTTTACAGCTAAGAAACCTAAGGCTCAAAGAGGTTGTGACTGGCCCACCAAGTATTCAATTTAACATTCAAACCCAGGTCTGTCTGACTGTAGAGGCTCAGTTTCAAGGAAGGGCTTAAGTGAGGAGCAAACAAGGATCAGACTGCCTCAGCCTGAAGGTGGAGGAGTGAGGTGGAGAAGGTGGGGTTCAAGGACAAGCTCATGAGGGAGCTGGGACTGGAAGGATGAGGGGGTGATGTTAGATGGAGGAATGGCAAGAAATGCATTCTTGGCAAGAAAGCTTAGTAAGATGCCAAGCAGTGATTTATGTAAACCCTCTTACTCTGCTTTATTGCTCTCTGCTGGGTTTATAAATGATTTTCAAGGAGGGCTTCCACCCCACGGTGCTTCCTGGGAGATCCTCAGGTGTTCCTGCTCTTGGCTGCTTTGGGGGATACTTTGGGCCCTATCTTGGCATACTACCTACCTCCCCGCCCCCCCTCTCCCGCCTCTATACCTCCCCCCTCCCCCCCCATCCCTGTGGTAGTGCGGGGAGCTCAGCAGAGCAGCAGGCCCCGGGGCCTTATCAGCAACTCAGGGAAATGGCTTTAGAAACAGGCCCATCGGCTTCACACTGAAATTAAGTCCTCTTTATAATTAATAGAACCCTGTCTGTGAACAATTATTTCCTAGAGTTTCACGAAAGCTGGAGTGCTCAACAACAAAGATCTCCGATGCCTGCCAAGGGCGGAAATCAATAATTCATTGACAGGCAAGCCTGGCAAACAGGCTGCTGAGCTGGGGCTCTGCGCAGTGGAGGAGGCTGCCTGGTGGTGGCGAAAGAGCCCAGCCACGGGAGTCAGCCCTGGGAACAGGCCAGCCTGGAGGCATAGTGGGGACTGGAGAGGGGCAGGGCCAGGCCTAGGGCAGCAGGGGCCAGGCCTAGGGCAGCAGGGGCCAGGCCTAGGGCAGCAGGGGGCAGCAGAGAGCAGATGGCTTGGTGGCCAGACAGACTTGGGCTCTTATTACCTTTTGCCACTTTCCAACTGAGTGACCTTGGGCAAGTTCTCTTTGAACCCTGGTCTCCTCGCTGTAAAATGGGCGTGGGGGAGGGCGGAGATGCCCAATTCATGGGGTTGTTTACTTTTTTCAACCATTTGCTCATTCAACGGAAGTTCCATGCACCTACTGTGTGGGTTAGGCACTTTGCTAGGTACCAAATAAGACCCAGTACTGGCCCTTGGGTGGCTCACAGTCAAGTAGAGATACAGGAAAGAAAACAGAAATTGAAATTCAGGGTGGTGAGTGCTGGGAAAATGGAAGCTGTGGAGGCCACCATAGCAGAGAGGGGCAGAGGCTAGGGGAGGAGACAGTGACCTGAGACCTAACAGAGTCAAGAGGGAATAAGAAACATGGGTGTGCAAGTTTCCGCCCAGGAGCAGTATGCCATCTGGCAACCCTGCTTTCCTTCTCAATGAGACTGGGCTCCCCTTGCAGGTCTGCTCTCTGCCTGATGCATTCCTGCTCTCACTGGCTGCAGCATGCGGCCTGGAAGAGCCAGCGCCTAGTACAGACACCATGAACGGGGGTGGGGATGAGCAATGGATGCCTGAAGGGAGGGGGTGGGGTGAAACTGTTTCGAAGGACCTGTACAGCTAATTAACTCTATGAGTCTTTGAAATTGAGTCATAATAGGAAGACACGAGAAAGTAACATTTTGAGCATCTACAGACAGACCTGGGTTGGAACCTCAGCCCCACCCCTTCCATGCTGGGTGGCGTGGAACAACCTCAGGTATAAAATCTGTAGAAGGAGAACAATGAGACCAGGGGATAACTGTGAATTAACTTATGCAGAGTACCTCATGCAAGGCCAGGTGCAGCACGGTGCTCAGAACATGTCACATGTTTTTTAGAACACACCCTCTCCCTCCTTGCATGTTTGTTCTGGGGAGTGACAGAGGCGCATTGTTTTTGTGGAACTCCAAACTCAGTGTAACATACAAAATGCCTTCATACAGTGAGGGGCTGTGTGCTATGACAGCGGGCCCACCGTGGCCCACCAGCGGTAGGGTTACTAAGTGTTTACTGAACAGTTTCTGGCAGGCACTGTGGACCACATCCGTTTCTATCAATGGCCCAAACCTTCCTGAAAAGCTGGTAGGACCTGCTCCTGGAATGCCTGAATGGCCCCTGGGTTGGGCAGCCGTGGGCATGAATTACCTTGCTGTTGTCCCACTCCTGAGTTTTCATCTGTGTGTGGACGAGCTCGTAGGATGGTTCCATGGCATCCATGTCTGGCTTGGGATAACCTGGAATCACGTTGTGAAGCTGGAATCCAAAGGTGAGCAGCCAGCTGTTGACATCTGGGAGGGAGAGAAACAGAAGTATCCCCAGGGAGTAAGTGGACCTCAGATGTGACATATACCAATATTGCAGCCTAGAGTTGGGCGGCAGGTAGGGGCGAGGATGTGGAGTGCTGCTGGTGGGAGGGTCAACAGGTATAAGCACTTTGAAATCCAGTGTCATAGTATTCATGCTAAACACACCCTTGGGATCTAGCACCTCCATCCAAGCTGTAAGTCTAAAAGAGCAGTAATTTAAGTAGAACCTAGGTTTCCAGACTCCCCTCTCTACTGTCACTCCAACCCCCGGGACCTTCAGCTTCATACACCCAGTGGCAGCTATTGATGGGTGAAGACTCCTCCACATCCACCCAAACATCATAGAAAACACCTGCAGGGGACCATCACTCCCAAAGGAGAGATGTATATGAATGATTTTCAAAGAGAAAATTCACGTAAGAAACAAACTCTCCATCTTATGCTTGCTTTCTTTTGTTTTTGATTTTTCGTATGTCCCTCCAACCCTCTCTGCAGAGATTAGAGCCTCAGGGCCCAAGTGCCATAGGGCACAGAGATGGCTTGTACCAAAGATCAGAGGGATTTCCCCCATGATCCTGCCTGTCATTTACTCTGACAGCCTAAGGAAGTCACTTAACCTCCTGGTGCCTTCTTTCTATTGGGCTTGAGGATCTAGCCCAGTGATGGTGAACCTATGACACGTGTGTCAGAGGTGACACGCGAACTCATTTTTTTGGTTGATTTTTCTTTGTTAAATGGCATTTAAATATATAAAATAAATATCAAAAATATAAGTCTTTGTTTTACTATGGTTGCAAATATCAAAAAATTTCTATATGTGACATGGCACTAGAGTTAGTTAAGTTAGGGTTTTTCAAAATGCTGACACGCCGAGCTCAAAAGGTTCGCCATCACTGATCTAGCCCCATAGATAGGTTTTATTGACTTAAAGCATTCCTTGGGGGTTATTAGTTACTAGAGGCCCAGTGCATGAAATTCATGCATGGGTAGGTTCCCTAGGCCTGGCCACAGATTAGGGCGATCGGGTTTCCCGCTTCCCTGCCTCCTCCTTCTCTTCCTCCCTCAGTGCCCTGCCACTGCTGCTGGTGGCCTGCTATGTTCTGTGCCGCCCCCTGGTGGTCAGCTCACATCATAGTGAGCGGTTGAACTCCTGTTCTCCTGGTCGAACTCCCAAGGGAACATTTTGCATATTAGCCTTTTATATATATAGATAGTATATTAGGTATAGGGAGAGGTAATTTTGCCATGAACATTTGGTTCACTAAAGAATGGAATCAGAAAGCCAAGACATAAGGAAAAGAAAGAGAGTGAAGAGGGAACCAAGATGGTGGCATAGGTACACACTTGTACTTGCTGCCTCGCACAACCACATCAAAACTACAACTAAAAGACAAAACGTATATCATCCAGAACCACAGGAAGGCTGGCTGAGTGGAAATTCTACAACTAGAAGGATTAGAGAAAAGTGCATTGAAGCTGGTAGGAGGTATAGAGGTGAGGAAGTGCAGAGGTACGGAGGTGCATGTGGAAACGGGCTGGCAACTGGGTACGCTATTGTCTTTCTCAACCGGGAGGGAGATACAAGCTCCCAATTGCTCTGAACTCCAGTTCCAGGTGAGACTCTGGGGACCCAGATTCATATGAGGAGAAACTGGACTGTCTGGCATTGGGCCGGAATGTGAGGGCAGCTTTCTCACAGAGGTGCTTGCAGTGATCATTATTCCTATATGGGGCCCGTGGGACACAGACCCCAGGACATTTCCAGGGCAGAGTAGACTAGCAGCAATTGCAGTTTGCTCTGCCCTGGCGATTCCCTGAGACCCCACCCCACCCACTTTACACCACCCAACCTGTGAGCAGAGGCTTTTGCATATGAATGGCCTGTTCTTTTGCAATCTAAAACCTAAAAAGCTGCAGCTGGGTCAAAGAGTGCCAAAGCCTCCAAAAGAAGACCTAGACAGCAGCCTGCATTGCTTCACAGCTGGGCCTCATCTGGGCATGTCCAAACCCCAAACAAAGAGGAGGAATCTGCAGATCTCTCTGTAGCTCCTGCTGGGTGGCCTCAGGCAGTGGCTGACTTTTCACCTCCTTGGAGACCTAAGAGCCAGTGTACCCAGTGGTCAGAGTGAGACCATACCAGAGTACAACTCTTCACATCCATAAGCAACACACTCAAGGGGAAGACTCAGTGAGCACCAAAGCCCCACTGAAGCAAGTCCTGCTCCATAAGTGTGTCTCCAGCACAGCAGTTCTCCCATTGTAGACACAGCTGGTCCTCACAGCAGTTGGCCTGGTGGTCAATTCCTCCCAGTGACACCAACAGCAATCAAGACTTAACTACAACAAGACTGTGCACAAAGCCCACAAAGGGGTGCACCAAAAGTGTCAACCTCAGGTAATTAGGGAGGCTGAGCCACTGGGCCCTGTAGGACACCTAGCACACAAAGCCTTCTATCAACACAGGAAAACAGCCAAAATGCGGATACAAAGAAATAGGTCACAAATGACAGAAATGGAGGAAAGCAAACTACTGGATATAGTGTTCAAAAGGATGGCTATAAGGTTACTCAAGAATCTTCTAGAAACCTCCGAGAAATTTAGTGAGACCCTCAAGAATATGAAAAAGGACCAATTAGAAATTAAGCATACACTTACTGAAATAAAGAATAATATACAGAGATCCAACAGCAGACTAGAGGACCCCAAGAATCAAGTCAAAGATTTGAAATACGAAGAAGCAAAAACCTCCCAACTGGAAAAGCAAAAGCAAAAGCAAAAAGCAAAAAGAAAAAAGAACCCCAAAATATGAAGCTAGTGTAAGGAGCCTCTGGGACAACTTCAAGCGTACCAACATCCAAATTATGGGGGTGCCAGAAGAAAAGAGAGAGCAAGATATTGAAAACCTATTTGAAGAAATAATGACAGAAAATTTCCCCTACCTGGTGAAAGAAATAGACTTACAAGTCCAGGAAGTGCAAAGAACCCCAAACAAGAGGAATCCAAAGAGGACCACACCAAGACACATCATAATTAAAATGCCAAAGGCAAAAGGCAAAGAGAGAATCTTAAAAGCAGCAAAAGAAAAACAGTTAGTTACCTACAAGGGAGTACCCATATGACTGTCAGCTGATTTCTCAACAGAAACCATGCAGGCCAGAAGGGAGTGGCAAGAAATATTCAAAGTGATGAATAGCAAGAACCTACAACCAGGCTTACTCTACCCAGCAAAGCTATCATTTAGATTTGAAGGTCAGATAAAGAAATTCACAGATAAGGAAAAGCTAAAGGAGTTCATCACCACCAAACCAGTATTATATGAAATGCTGAAGGGTATTCTTTAAGAAGGGGAAGAAGAAGAAAGAGGTAAAGATAAAATTTATGAACAACAAAGTGTCAACAAATACATATCTATCAACAAGTGAATCTAAAAATCAAGTGAATAAAAAATCTGAAGAACAGAATAAACTGGTGAATATAATAGAATCAGGGACATAGAGAGGGAGTGGACTGACAATTCTTGCGGGGGAAGGGGGTGTGAGGGATGAGGGACGAGACTGGCCAAAAATCATACACCTATAGATGAGGACAGTTGTGGGGGGGAGGGTAAGGGCATGGGGTGGGGTGGGAACCAGGTGGAAGGGAGCTATGGGGGGGAAAAAAGAGGAACAACTGTAATAATCTGAACAATAAAGATTTATTAATAAAATAAAATAAAATAAAATGAGAGAAAAAAAAGAGAGTGGAGGGTGTGCAACTAGCTACTTGGCCCACTGTTGCGGGGTGCCTTTTCTGTGCCTAGTACTGTGTCACACAGACCCTCCCTTTGCACACTCAGGTCCCTGAAGGGAGACGGGACATGGACATGAAGAACTCTGACACAAGAAAAAAAAGATGAGGCGAAGTCAGTCTTTCAGTTGGCTAGTCTGACGTATCTTCATGAAGAAGGTGCTATTTAAGCCAAACATTGAAAGCTGTGCAAATACTGTCAGGCTTTGATGGAGATAAAGGGGGCACTTCAAGAAGACTGGTGCACAAGGCAAGGCCTGGAGAGGGGAGGCGAGTGCAGGAGTGTTCAGGTCCCCAGACAGCAGAGAAAGAACCAGAAAGGAAATTGTGGTTGGAGCAGGAAGAGCCTGGGATGGCCAACAGGAGGTGATTTGGGGCCTACAGGAGAGAGTGTTGGAGCAAGGTTTGAGAAGGGGCAGCTGAAAACGACAAAGCAGTTGTTGACCAGAGACTTGGAATTTAAAGTTTGGGGGAGGCAGGATTTGGAGTTGAGCCCCAGAAATAGCAACCCGGGGCTGTGGGCACCCAGGCCTGCTTTTAGCTTCTTCCAAAGGAGAGCGATCCCTGGTCAGAGAGGCCCTGTTTAGGGTCCAGGCCTTGGTGGAATTGTCTTCCCTATCACCCACTGAGTTCATCCCAGTGAACTTTGGGGGTCAACAATTGTGTCCCTCTCACCACTGCATCCCATGCTGCCTTCCCCTTCAAGAGCCTTGTGCTTGACTTTCCTTTTTGTCTTTGTTTTTCGGTATGTCCCAGAGCCCCTCTCTGGGGGGTGAAACCTGGAGGCGCTGAGGTAGAGGGGTGGTTAGGAAGGAAAGTTTGGAAACTTATAGAAAGATCCTACAAGGAAAAGAACATGGTGAGGCAAGGCAAAACCCAGGTCCACACGCTGGCCCCTAACCTGCGAACTGTGTGGCCTTGGACCATTCTGAGGCTGAGTTTCCTTACCTACAAATTGATGGCAGAGGTGGTTTTCTTTAAGTCATGGAGAGAAGTACTAACAGTGTCACCACCTGGGGGCAGCTATCTGACAACAAGGCCTGTCGTGAGCTTGTTACATGAATGTGTTTTAAAGGGTGCAGCTCCTCCTGGTTCACAGTAGGGTTTCTGTGTTTCCTCGAACCCATGCCTCCACCTCCTTGGACCTCTATTTCCTCATTTGTAACATGAGGCACTTGGACCAGCTCGTCTCCAAATTCCCTTTCCTCATTGAGTTTCTAAGAATCTCTGATTCTATGAATCTTGGCAGATGGTTCTTTGGGAAATTAAAACAAACAGAACCAAGTGGTGTGTGTGTGTGGTGGGAACCTGACTAAGGTTTTTTTTTTTTCGGCCTGAGGCTGAGAACATGCATCTGAATTTGTAGTTGTAAAGAAAATTTTCTATCAGGAATACTGCAAAGTCCCAGGAAACCAGGGGTCTGAAAACAGGGCTGGGCCTTAATTATAAGTGATGGAAGGTGAGAAACTTTCTCATTACGCCTTTAGAAAAAATGCTGAAATAATTTTTTCCCCCCATTTGGCTTTTCTGAAGAGTTGAGAATTTTCCTTTTCCTTTCTATGGCATCATATGTAGACACATCCCTCAAGTTAAAAAGCTCTTCTCTACTCATCCATCCCAGACTGCACAATGTGGCCCCCTGAATAATAAGAATCCCTTTGTTGCACTTTACAAAGTGAATCTGAATCCAAGATGAGGACTTTGGAGTCAGATGGAACAGCCATCTAACCCCTTCCTGCCACTTCCTAATGGGCCAGTGACAACCTTTCTGAAAATGGGGTCAGTGATCCCCATCTCCCAGGCTCAAGTGAGGGTCAAGTGCAATATTGTACATGATATATCTGTGGTGCACATTTTTTGGTCATCCTAGCACCCCATTCTTCCTGCTCACTCCTTCCTTTTGGGGTCCTCATATAATTTTAGGGACGCAGTCTCCACCTAAGAGTTCAGTAAGGGAGCATGTGACCTGGCTAAACCAAGCAATGCATTCTGTCTTCCCAGCCACAGTGACTGATTGGTTCAGGGATTGTTATGTGACATAAGCCTACCCGATGATTAGAGTACATCTCAGAACCCCTGAAGAAATTTTTGGGAATAAGATGTTCTTTTTATTATTGTTGTTGCTGGATGTGAATGAGGTTGCATGTAGCCCAGGTAGAAGCTAAAAGGTAAGGTTTAATGAGAATTGTAATATTTTGGTTTTTAGTAGTAAAATGGTTTTTGCACCATTTTTTTTTCAGCTACAGTAATCTGCCAAGACGTCTCACAGGACACTCTCGGGAGGGTGAGGCAGCGGTGTGGTTAATGCAGACAGATGTAATGGAGATGTCCTTGCAATTGGTGAGGCTTTCCCAGGGCTGGCAGCAGGGGAGTGTGGGCCTGTTGGGAAGTCTCCTGGCCATCTGCAGGCCCCCAGGGTGTTTCTGTCACACCTGCTTCACTTCTGAGTTCTCTTCTTCTCCACTCTTGGGACTCTCAATAGGACCACCTGAATTCTCTCAACATGACCACCTGGAATTCTTCCCTGAAATTCCTCCAATTGCTGTCAGCAGAAACAGGGTCCAGACTAGGCTACCGAGTTCAGGGGCCAATGAAGCCATGTCCCTAAGGGGCCCTCATGTGAGATGTACTCGTTGCCCTCTCTGTGCTCTTTTAAAAAAATTATTATTATATATTTTATTGATTTAGAGAGGGAGGAAGGGAGAGAAAGAGAGAGAGAGAGAGAGAGAGAGAGAGAGAGAGAGAGAGAGAGAGAGAGAGAAAGAAACATCAATGTGAGAAAATACATCAACCAGTTGCCTCCTGTACGTGCCCTGACTGGGGAATTGAACCCCCAACTTAGGTATGTGCCCTGACTGGAAATTGAACCCTTGACCTTCCAATGCATGGGATGATCTCCAACCAAGTGAGCCATACTGTCCAGGGCTATTATGATATTATTTTAAAAAAATGATTTTGAAGAGAGAGAGAGAGAGAGAGAGAGAGAGAGAGAGAGAGAGAGAAAGAGAGAGAAACATTGATTTGTTGTTCCACTAATTTATACATTCATTGTTTGACTCTTGTATATACCCCAACTGGGGATCGAACTTGCAACCTTGGCATATCAGGATGAAGCTCTAACCAACTGAGCTACCTAGCTCTCTTACACTATTGTATATGCAGTTCCCTCTCTAGTAACTGATGGATGTCTACTCATTAGCGAGCCTCAAATATCAGCTGCTCTCTGAGCAGAGCCAGCTATGCCTCCTGTATCTCAATGGCCATCAATGCAACCCTTCACCATGGGGCCCTCACACTGGACAGCAGTGGTCTGTCTCCCCTCCTGCAGTGGGCATTCCTGGAGGGCAGGAAATATCTTTCTATCCCTAGTGGCTAAAACAGTGGCTGCACAGAGGAGGCACTTGTTGAATGAATGAAACTGCCTTAAAATAGGGAGCAAGAGGGCTGTGTCACAGGACAAAGGAGGTGGTGACTACTAGGTTTACAAGTTGGGATATGCCACAAGCTCTCTTTTATAAAAAGTGCTGGCTTTCTCCAGACCTGAATCCCTATAGCCACTCAGACATTGAGGTTTTCTGTTGCTGGGAGTGGCTGCTTGCTGGGAGGACTATGACTGCTGGAGACATGTCTGGCATGCATGACCTATGGGACACTTTATACTCTAGGTGGTTCCACAGTAGTGGAAAGCAAAGCCCACTTTTTAAATCAGAAGGCGGAGGAAAGGGAACCAATGTGAGCTATGCACTGAGCTGGGCAGGTCCTAAAATGTATCTCATTTTAGCCTTGCAACCATCCTACCAGGGAAGTTTTTTTCTCTCTCCTATTTGTCTGTCTGTTCTTTGCTACTTTTGTCCCTCTTTGGCTACCTTCTTTGGATTGAAAATATTTTAGTCTTCATTTATCGCCACTATTGACTGATTTACGATGCCTTTGTTTTATTCTTTTGTAGTTGCTCTAGGATTTACAATGTGCATATTTAACTTATCCAAGTCATGGTATGTATTCTAACTTCAGTTTATAAATCAGGAATTCGGGGAAGTTAAGTAATTTTTGTGACTGTAATGGCTTAGACATGGTGGACCCCTTTACCTAGTTCTGTCTGTCTCCAAAGTCTAAATTTTCCATTACTTCATCCCAAATAAGACACTTTTTTTTTTAAAGCCATACCTTTACCCAACTTCTCAGAGATGCATAGCCAGCTTCATTTTTGGGTCAGAAACTCCCAAAATGCATTTTAAGGAATGCATCTAGGGAGATATTAAAGTTTCATGGTGAAAAACAGGGTTTTATGGTAAAAAAAGTTTAAAAATAATGAGTAAATATGTTAAACGATTCTCTTTACTACAGAACTTCTCAGAGCCTTTCATAAGCTGAAATGTATTAGGAAAATTTAAAGAATGGTGGCCTCCCTGTCAAATTGATTTGATGCCAGAAACAGTTTTTCCAGAGCATTTTTCTCAACTAGTGTTTTTTCAAATATACTTTGAAAAATGTTGCTCTAAGATAAAGTCAGTTTCCCATTACCCCCTGACAGCTTTCTCAAGGATGACTGTTGTGTCAACAACCAAACAAGAGGAAGAGATGACTGGCCCCTGCCCTCTGAATGAGCCCTGATCCTCACCTGTCATGAAGCACTTGATGTCCTGAGAGTTGCTGATGGGGTTGTTGTTTTTGAACATATAGAGATTAAAAGGCATGATATTGCTGCTACTAAGGTGCTTCCACAGCTCATGGTCTGGGCTAGTCCAGCGGCCAGCCAGCACATCATAGTCCCGTCGGCCCATGTGGACGAGCTTGGTGAGTGGATCATAGAGGCCACCATGGTAGCCAATGATGATCTGGAAGTTGGGATTGGTGTCCATGTAGATCTCCCCATAGGCCGTGTAAAGAACCTGCTTGATCATCAAGCCTGTTCCACTGAAGACAGCAAGAGGGGTCCCAATGTTGTCACAAGCTATGTAAAACTCATCGCCGCTGCTCAGCTCCATGGCAAAGAGGTGCCCTTGCAGGTCGTAGTAGAGGGATGTGATCTCAGAGCTGGAGTGGTTGTAGAGGTGGGTGACCTTGGTGGGGTTGGTCAGATCTGCATAGAAGAACTGCAGGTGGTGGCCCTGGCTGCTCTTGCTAGACACCCGCCGCCCCAGGCCATCGTAGCGGTACCTGACACTCCAGCCACCAGCCCGGTTGTAGGCCTTGGTGAGCAGGCCAGCTGAGTTGTACTCAAAGACATCAGCACCTCGCTGCCTCAGGAAGCCATCCTCATCCATCTTGTATTGCACGTCACCTAGCCTAGTGATGCGGTCGCGGTGGTCATACCTTAGTGGGGTGAGCCGTGCGCTGTTCCCAGGGCTCAGTAAGTGCAAGTTCCCATTGAGGTCATAGCTATATCTCCAGAGCGGCTTGTCATTGATGGAGACAGTCTGTAGCTGGCCGTCAGCATCGTACTCATAGGAATAGCGGGTAGTGTTGGCATAGGGTCCCACCTTCAGCTCCTTCTTCACTACTCGCCCCATGTTATCATATTGGACGGTCATCCAGTACATGAGTGAGCGGAAAATCTCGTATTGCACTTCCTTCATCCGCCCGTATGCATCAAAGTGCTTGGTGTGGGTCATGACCGCTGTGGTGATGATTTGGTTAATGTCATAGTAGATGACACCAAACTTCCCGAACTGCTCTGTTTTGCCTGACACATCATCATAGCGATAAAGATCGATGGGCAGTGGGGTCTCATTGATCACAGCCTGCATGCTGGTCACCCGGAAACTGTTGTCATAGTTGTAGTCAAAACGAGCATTGACCATGCCCTCCTCGGTGAAGCGGAAGATCTGGCGGTCGATCAGGGGCCCGATTTGACGGTAGCGGATGGTGCAGGTGAAGCCCTCGTTCTGTAGGTTGATGGTCTTCAGCATGCCGGCTGTCTCATCATAGGTGAAGCTCACCTTGGTGGTGTCGTACAGCATCTCGGCTAGCTTAGACAGCTTGCCATACTTGTATATTACCCTGCGGCCAGTGCCCAAGTAGAAGGTGTGGAGGAGGTGCCCGTCCTCAGTGAAGTCCTGGATGACGAAGGCATTGCTCTCGGGGGGCTGGTAGATGTTCCTGTAGTAGCCCACTGAGCGAATGGTCTCTAATGTCTGCCGGGCCACGTTGGGCATTGTCACGGAGGAGAGGCGGTCGTTCTTGTCAAACTCAAAGATATACTGCCGCTGGCTGTGGAGGAGCAGCACCATGGACTGGAGGGAAAGGAGAACCAAGAGATGAGAGCAGGGTGGTGGGGAGGAAGGGGAGGTCTGTGTGCCTGCCCAAGGCTTAAGGAAAGCAATGAAAGGCCAAGGAAACTGGTGGATCTCCTAAATTATGCCCAACCAGATATTTCCATAAGACACTGCAATGGGGTACAGATATGATCAGATAAGTGTTGTTCTCATCCCTTGGTCTGGCAGGGCATGGGGCCCCGTGAGAAGTCTTGTCAATTTGCCCCTTTGGGTGGTACAAAAATGATGACTTTAGTATGTGATGGCTTGTGACAAAGGTGGGCGCACTGGCCTAAAGTATTTGCAGCATCTTCTCTCCTGGGTTCCTTCTGAAATCAATCTTCCTACTCAAACAAGAATTCTTTGCCTAAAATAGAGTCTGATAATGTCTACTCACTGCTAAACAACTTCTGTTGACTCCCTGTGGCCTACAGGATAGAGACCATGTCTGAAAAAGGCATTTAAGGCCTTGCACAATTGCTTATATAGTAACAGGCCATATGGGAATAGGGACACCTGGCTTCTAACAACAGTCATTGTGTGGCCCTAGCTTTTTCAGTATGCCGGATGACCTCCAAGGTCTCTCTTAGCACTACCACAGAGCATTGCTCTCAGAGATGCTCACCCAGCACAGAGCAGGGGAGGCTGGCCACAGAGCAAGCAGAGCCTGGGCTCTGGAGGGATGACCAGGAGTAGGAAACATAGTAAGGATCTGGGTACCAAGACTGGGCCATGAAGTACAGACTGTATTTCGGGAATAAGTCAGCAGCCTAGCGGGAATTAGGTACCAAAGCTACCATTTTCTCCTCTTTGGAATCAATTTTTGATTTCAGGCCCTTTCTGATTCCTCACCCTTGGGATGAAATGAATCCTGACCTGAAGCAGAAGGGATTTACCAAGGCCACACATACCCCTTGAAGCTCAGGATTAAGTATTTCCTGCTTAGGTATTGATCCTTAGGCTTCTGCTTTGTCCTCCGCAACCAGATCACCCCATGTGCCCTAGACCTGGGAGCAGATCTCTGCCTGTTCTGGGACCCTGAATCTTGCTCTGTAAGTTGAGATGGCGTTTGATCCTGTTCCCAGCTCTAGTTTATCACACACAACTTTCACATTCTCCTGCCCTAGAACCCCTCCCCGCCCCCCACCTGCCATGACATCACCATGATCCATCCTGAAGGAAGCCTCTCGGGACCCCCTGGCCCTCTGCTTCAGATTTTCCTGAACATTTCCTTTTGGAGACCACAGGGGTCAGACCTAACCTATCAAGGTCAACAGACTGGGCTTGGCCCTCTACTCGGCAAGGTCAGTGATGGAGGGCAACAGACACCTGCCTTTTCCAAGTACGTATAGCTCCATGTCTTCCCATCAGCAAAGATCCTGGATGTGATGCGGCCCGTCTGGTCATACTCCATCCTCTCAGACATGATGCCCCTCTGGATGCCGGCAATGTGGCCCCTCGGGGAGTATGTCACATTGACGCCATTGAGCCTGCTGCTGGGTGACCAGAGGCTGGGCCGCCCTGCCTGGTCGTACAGGATCCGGAGGGTGAATTTGCGGTGGTCATCATAGATCTTCTCCGTGCGCGTCACACGGTCAAAGTCCAGAGAGAGTAGGTTCCGATTGTGAACCTGGAGAAGGGGTAGGAAGAAGGGGAAGGTTAATCTGGATGCTGAGAACTTGGGTCTGAGAAGCTCCTGAATAGAGGAGGCAGCACAGGTCGTGGGTGTCAACACGGGTTGGGGTCCTGGCTCTGTCACTTGTGAGCTCTGTGAAGTTTTCTCATCTGTAAAATGGGAATAATAATGCCAATTCCATAGGACTGCTGTGAGGATAAGGATGGTGCAGGTGCTGAGCAAACAGTAGCTGTCACTGAAGATGACTCACATCATTTCCTAATGTGATTCTTCTAATAAGGATGGTAGGCAGATCCTTGACTCCCTCCTAAAAAGGGAGAGGCCCTGTGGGCCCAGCAAATCAATGCCTGACACCATTCATGATGTGCCAGGCACTGTGCTAGTGTTTGACCTGAGAAAACAAGAGCTCAGGGACATAAAGGGCATGCTCCAGATCCCGTGGCTGGTATGACTGGGTCTGGGTTTGACGGTCTCCACTGCAAGGTGCCCACACATGCTCAGTGGTCCTCTAAGAGTCCCACTCTTATTGGGGCTTTGGACCTCCCTTCCCTGCTGGGATCTCTCCTGCCCTCTCTCACCACAATTAGGGCTTCTTGCTTACCCTGGTCAGCTCCCCAGGTTTCTTTTTCTTCCTGGATGCCCTGGGGGCAGGAGGAGCTGTGTGGGTTTGAATCTGGGCTGGCTTTGATGGCTTTGGGCCACTTGAGGACACAGTCCTAGCTTTGGAAAGTCTGCTCTTGTCTCCAGCATCAGAGCCCCTTGTGTGATCTCTACTTGGGCCACTAGGTCAGCACACGATTAGATTTCCTTTCAGAGTCAGAAATACAGGGCTCCCACAAGGGTAGCAGGATGTCAGGGTTTTTCATATTTTAATGAAGAAATATACTTCGGAGTCCTCTTTCTATATTTGGTACCCGTTACCCATGAAACACTGCGAGGTACTCTGAAGCTAAAATGTGGATTTCCTCTAATTGGAGTCTGGGTACATTTGGGTATATTGTCTCACTCTTGCATTAGTCACTGGTTAAATTTGACGAGCAGTAAGGAAGACCCAAGAAGCAAGCCGACAAGGTAGGTCACCTGATGCAAAACAGCACATGTGGACTGAGGTAATGAAAGGCCCTCCGGGGCCCCGTGTGGTAAAACAGGGCTCAGGTCTAGGGATTAAGGCCAGGACTCCGGCCTCATCTGTGACCAACTCTTCTGTATGACCCTGGGCAAGTGTCTTTCCCTATCTGTGTCTCAATTTCTCCCTCTGTAAAACAAAGGACTGTTGAGAGGATTGAAGAAATCTAAGTAAATTACCTAGTGGAGTGCTGGGCACACAGAAAGTACTGAATTAATGGTTGCGATTATTTCCACTAAATGACAGCAAATGATCATGGTCATTCTCAGAGGAAGTAGAGACATGGGTGTCTCTCCCTCCTCCCCAAACAAATTCTAAAGCGTAGGAAATAAGGATTTATAATGATGATGCTGAGACGACTTCAGCTGCGAATGGCCTGGTTATAATAAGGTTGCCTTCCCAGGGGTAATCAAATACAATTGAAGAAGCAAAAACAGTGTGGCAGACAATTCCCATGAAAAATATGAGGCATTGGAGGCTGAAGCTGTGTGCTTTGCCGAGAGCATAAAGGAAGATGCCGGGCCTGCACCACCAACAATGATGGAGCCCTTTTACAGCATCATGTGGAAGGTCCCCTGTGATGCCCCAAGATGCTGCCACCCAGCCAGCTGTCCCCTCACCCCCTGGAGGACCCCTAGTGAAGGGGAGCTATACCTCCGTGGCAAAATTAATAAAATTGAATTAAGCAGCTCACTGGGGAACTGCCTAATGCTTCCTGTGCTTGGCAGTGGCGGCAATGAGATTATTTTACATCTTTCTTTATTAAAAAAGTTCCCAGTCGTATAAAAAATGAGCTCCATTATGGAGAGGCGCACCCGGCTAACATTCTAATTCCACATGCCGCCACTGTGGGTGGCCATTTATATTGGGAGGACGAGGAGATGCGGACACCTCACCGGAGTGCCGTTAATCTCAGGCTGGGAGAGGGACCAACTCAAGCCTGGGAAACTTTGGGTCCAGTTCACCTGGAGAGAGGAAATCCTATGAGCACTAATTGCTGCCACTTATGGAGCACCTGGGGTCTCCCAGTGCCTGGTGAGGTCTATACCAAATCTATTATCTGGCTTCTGCAGAAGAATCTCAGGCTCAGAGGAATTGCTCAAGGCTACCCATGGCCCAGGTCAAACTTCCCACTTAGCACACCGCCTCAAATGTTCATGAGGAGCTGCAGGAGAATTTTGACGGGCGCTCAGTGAGGCCACAGAAAACAAAGACAGGGGCCTTTCTTAGGGAAGGGGTGGAAGGATGTTTCCCACATCAGACTGTTGCTAGATTCTTGGCTGTTGAGAGAAGATAGGAAGCCTGGCTTTCTGGCTCTACTGGTATGATCTTGGATATTTCCCTTAATGTTTCTGTATCTGTTGTGAGAATTTAGCTATGAGACAGGGTGCCTACTCTCTAGTCCAGCGGTTCTCAACCGGTGGGTCGCGGCCCCTTTGGCGGTCGAACGACCCTTTCACAGGGGTCGCCTAAGACCATCCTGCATATCAGATATTTACATTGCGATTCATAACAGTAGCAACATTACAATCATGCAGTAGCAATGAAAATAATTTTATGGTTGGGTCACAACATGAGGAACTGTATTTAAAGGGCCAGGAGGTTGAGATCCACTGCTCTAGTCCTTACCACCACCCAGCGATGCGAGTCTGGGAAAATCCCTTTTCTCTCTGGAACTCGGGTGCCCTGTGTTTGAAAGGGGTACTTCAATGAACTTCCTTTGCTGAAGGGCAGGGGGACAAGACAGGCTCAGCTGCGCTGCGTGAGGATCCTTCTGCGGTTTTGAGGAGTCAGGAATTTGTGGCTCAGCTCAGCAAGTCTCTACAGAGCACCTGTGGTCTCGGAGGTACTGTGCTGAGAGCCAGGGCTAGTGATGGGAATCACCTTCCTTCTGAAGCGGGGGCGGCTGGGCAATCGGGCACTGGGGCCAGAAGCCACACTACGGACACCTGGCAGTGAGGCCGAGGAAGGGCTGGTTTAGGGGAACCCGCTCTGCAAAGCACTGAGATGCTAGACCACAGATGCCAGCCTGTTGGCGGTGACCTGTACGGTGGGGGTCATTTTGTTCATTTAGGAAGAATAACTCCCTGAAAAGGGGGAGGATATGGCTTAGGTTCCAAACAGCTAAACGGAATTTTCAGACATATCAGCAACATAATAACTATACTAGTAATAAGAATAGCACTAGTAGCAACAACACAAGCAGGCGTGACTGACTACTTATTATGACCAGGCTCTGTATGAGGCACTTGATATGTTTTTTCTGATCTTTGTAGCAATGTATAAATTTGGTTTTATCTTCATTTTATAGATCATGAAATCAAGGCTTTAAGAGATCATGGATTTGCCCCGATTCATTCAAGAAATAACAGAAGCTGGAAATCCAACTCAGGCCTGACTAACACCAAAGCCAGTAATCTTGCCACAGGTAACAACTGCAAAGATGGACAAGATCTATTCTTGATCATCAAATTATGTTGATCATTATATCCCACATATGAGTGAGGTCAGGTGGTATTTATCTTTCTCCGACTGGCTTATTTCGCTTAGCATAATGCTCTCCAGTTCCATCCATGCTGTTGCAAATGGTAAAAGTTCTTTCTTTTCTATAGCAGCATAGTATTTCATTGTGTAGATGTACCACAGTTTTTTAATCCACTCATCTGCTGATGGGCAATGGCAGGGGAGATGGGGCGGGGGCGGTTAGAGAGCAACCAAAGGACTTGTATGCATGCATATTAGCATAACTAATGGACACAGACATGGGGCGGTGGGGGCTTGCCTGGGGTGGGAATGGCTGGGGGGAGGGGTCAATTCAGGGAAAAAGGAGACATATGTAAAACTTTAGACATTAAAAAAGAAAAGAAAAGATGGACAAGAAGATGCTTAATACATGAGTTGCCTGCCTTACTTTCCCTGTTTTGCAGATGAGGAAACTCAGCGCCCAGGAAAACTTTCTACCCCAGCGACAGTTTCAGGAACGGAACACAGTTCTCCAGCTTCCTTCTCATTCTCCCCTCTCCCCCCGCCCCACCCCAGGACTCGGCCTCCAGAGGTGGAGACCTGCCTGGAGGTCCTGCTCACCCGCAGCCGGCGCCCGAAGACGGTGACCTGGCCCCGTGCCTGCTCCTTGCGCTGCCGCCACTCCACCAGGTTGAGGCCATTGTCGATGGGCAGCGTGACGTTCCTCTTGCCCACGGTGGGGTTGACAGTGCCGGCCAGCAGGTGGGGCTCAGTCTGCAATGCCACCTCCATGCCATTGGCCAGCAGCAGCCGCAGGGAGCCATCCGCCCCAATGTAGTAGCTGTTCCGGACCTGGTCTGAGGGAGAGGAGAGGGACAGGCTGCTCAGGAGGGACAAGGACGGAGGGAGGCAGGGGTGTGGTTTTAAAATGTTTATTTTTCTAACTATAGAAACAAAACATTATTATTAAAGAAAACGAGGAAAATATATGGACAACAGCCACAATCTCAATACCTTTCCTCCCCGCCCCCCTCCTCCCCCCCAAACCCACTGTAAATATGATGGTAGTGTCCTAGATTTTTAGGATATTCCCTAATATAGTCAGAGTATAAAATGTGGCTTATAGTTTTTCACTGATGATTGTATTATATTGTTGAATATTTTTCATGAAAGACTTTACTAATGAATGAGCAGCAGTATTCCGTTCTATGAAAATAATTTATTTAACCAAGCTTCAAATAGATTTCTAATTATCGCCAGTTTTCATAATTACATGTAACACTGCAAATAAATATATTTTAAACATTAAGCTAAGTGAAAGAAGTCAGACACAAAAGGCCTTGTATGGTGAATCCATTTATGTGAAATGTCCAGGACAGGCCAATTCATAGAGAGAGAAAGTAAATTAGTGAGGGGAAGGGGGAATGGACAGTGACTGCTAAAGGGTAAGGGTTTCTTTTTGGGAGTGATAAAATTTTTCTAGAATTAGATAACAGTAATAGTTGCATAATTTTGTATATATACTAAAAACCACTGAACTAACTGCACACTTTCAAAGGGTGAATTTTATGGTACTTGAAGAAATATATTTTTTGGTAAGTCAATGTATTCGTTTTGGGTTATTTAATCAAAACAGATTCCTGTAAATATTAGTAGACTGAAGGGTGAACATTTTTAAGGCTCTTGATGTAAACTAAGTTAACAGTGTTCTTTATAACAAGGTGAAAAATAACTCCAAAACTTAAATCACTGACAGAATGCCAAATATATTTGTGATTTAAAACATATATATGATTTAAAACATATATGTTTAAATAAAACATATATATGTATATATGTTTTAAACTATTGTTGTATATATATACATTATAGATGGTCCCTGACTCATAATGGTTCTACTTATGATTTTCCAGCTTTATGATGGTGTAAAAGCAATATTCTACATGATATTCAATACTTTATAATAAAATAAGGCTTTGTGTTTGATGATTTTGCCCAACTGAAGCTAATGTAAGTGTTCTGAGTACATTTAAACTAGGCTAGGCTAAGCCATGGTGTTTGGTAGGTTAGGTGTACTAAATGAATTTTTGACCTAGGATATGATATTTTCAACTTACAATGGGTTTATTGGGATGCAACCCCATCATAAGTCATGGAGCAGCTATATATATAACAGTAATTTAAAAAATAGATACGATTTTGAAGTTTTATATTTGGTTGAAACATTTTAATTCAGATCTGTAGCTAAAAGGTGCTTCTGGAGAAAAAAGTCAATTTCAGCTGTGAAATGCACACGGAATTCTCTTCTAAAAATGGAATGAAAATCTCTGACCTTATACTGCACTCTCCCGCCTCTTGTCCCTTCTCCGCCTTTGCCTCTGTCTGCACTGGCCCTCTCTTCAATAAATGGTAGCCCAAGTCCTTCCTTAGAGGCTCTGCTTCACTGTGCTCTCTTCTCAGAAGCTTCCTCTGTATCTCTGGTTAGAATGAATGCCTCCCCCATATGCCCCTTCACCTCTCTATGTGTTTCATTGGTGGTCTTGGTGCCTGAAGGATATAGGGTTCGCCCACCTGTTAATCACCAAATTCTCAAATACCTCAGTGCCTATGGTGAGAGGCACTCTGCATTGAGATTAAGATCAAGGGTTTTGGAGTCAGGCTACCTGAGTTCAAGTCCCAGTGCTGCCACTCTCCTGCTGTAAGACCAGGGGCTAATTCCTTGGTCTCTCATGTCCTTGTTTCATCTGCACACTGGGGCAATAACTGTACTCTTACCTCACAGGATCAAGTGAGATGAGTACTTGGCGTATAGTAAGTGTCATAGAAAATGTGGCTATTACTCGTTTTATGTGCCTGGCACTGTGCTGGTCACTGCCATGCATCTCGTCATCTCTGTCTCCACTACCCCATTTCACACACCTGTCAGAGTGAACTTTTCCAGTATGACCATGGTCCTTTATTTGGAAAAAGGGAGATATTAGTAATACCTACTTCATCTGGTTATTGTGAGGATTAAATAGGACTATGAATGTAAAACACTAAAAAATATAGTTCATACCAAATGTTAGTTATTACTACCACTTTTATTGCACGTGCTTAGTAAACATTTGCTGGACTGAACTAGATATATTCCGGGCTCTGACAAGCAATAAGGATGTTGTCTTTGTAGGAAACCCTCACTGAATCTTCCCTGCTAGAATAGCATCAAATGGGTCTTTCTCCCTCCCCTGTTTCCTCCCCTCTCCATTTTCTCTCTCACACACAGAATCCTAAAATCTGCCTCAAACTCGCTATGCATCATTCACCGACAATCTGTATTTTACTTCCTTTGAACAGTGAAAAAGCCTGTGTCAATTTATCTTTTATAAAGCTGCTTCCTCCTGAATCCACATACGTCCATTAATGGTGACTCTGGGTGGAACAGCATCTGCAGAGCCCCATCTCAATGACCCCCATTTAATGTGAGCTGTGACTTCCCAAGGCTGCTGCTCATTAGCAGCTCCTCCCTGTTTCTGCCCAGTGTTCAGATGTGAGATGAAACCGAAAGCGCTTTTTACAAAGACTACTGAGGCTGCTGCAGAACTGAGCATCTGGGCCTGGTGTGAACGAAGGAAGAGGAGCTTGGCAGAGGTACCAAAGAGGGAAAACAGGCACCACGTCTCCTGGGGTCCAATATGTACTTTTCCTTTTCACATTGTACTGTCTCTGAAATTGCAATGTGTCTTAAGTCCTTATATGCATTTCAGGCGGTGGGTCTCCCTCCAGCCCCATCCCCCAACCTGAAAAGTTGTTATTAAATTGATGGTGCCTTTTAAAACCTTTTTGATGGCACTTTTGAATTTCCAAGAAAAAGTTGCCAAATATAAGAAAGCCTGCATTAACTTTTAAGAAAATTGCTCAAAGTCAGATTAGAGGTATGGAACGGGTGAGACAAGTCTTAACCACAGGGAAGAAAAGGGGGCCTGAAGGACAAGGTGTCTGAGTAATGAGTGGCCTTGCTGTCCCTCGTCAGGCAGAAGCCTGGCTGGCTCGGCACTGGTACCTTCTCTGGGTAACAACCCAGTGAGAGCATCACACTGGGGTGTGGCCCAACCCAGGGCTGCAGGTGCTTGGTGGGGAAGAAACTCTAGGGTTTGGTTTCTCTTTCTTTGAGAACTGCTATTGTTCTTTGAGTTTTTTTTTTTTTTAATTGAATTTACTGGGGTAAGATTGGTCCACAAAAGCATCCAGGTTTCAAGTGCACATCTCAACAAAACATCTTCTGCACAATGTATTGTGCACCCATCGCTCCAAGCAAAATCTCTTTTTGTCCCTGTTTCCCCCGCCACACACACTTTGCCTACCTCTACCTACCCTTTCCCTTTCCCTCTGGCTATCACCACACTGTTGTCTCTGTGTACACACACACACACACACACACACACACACACACACACACACACACACACACACATTATTTGCTTAATCCCTTTATCTTCTTTCATCCACTCCCCCAATCCCCTTCCCCTGTGACAACTGTCAGTCTGTTCCATGTATCCATGCCTTTGTTTCTATTTTGTTCGTTAGATTCCACATATAAGTGAGATCATATGGTATTTGTCTTTCTCTGAGTGCTTTATTTCACTTAGTCTAAAAATCTCCAGGTCTATCTATGCTTTTGCAAAAGGTAAGATTTCTGTTTTTTTTTTTTTTTTTTTTTTTTATGGCCTAGTAGAATTCCATTGTATAAATGTACCACAGCTTTTTTATCCACTCATCTACTGATGGGCACTTGAGCTACTTCCAAATCTTGGCTATTGTGAATAATGCTGCAATGAACATAGGAGTGCATATATTCTTTTGAATTAGTGTTTCAGGTTTCTTCGGATATATTCCTAGAAGTGGGATCACTGGGTCAAATGGGAGTTCCATTTTTAATTTTTTGAGGAAACTCCAGACTGTTTTCCACAGTGGCTGTACCAGTCTGTATTTCCACCAGCAGTGCACAAGGGTTCCTTTTTCTCTACATCCTCACCAGCATTTGTCATTTTTTGATTTATTGATGGTAGCCATTCTGACAGGTGTGAGGTGATATCTCATAATAGTTTTAATTTGCATCTCTCTGATGATTAGTGACTTGAGCATTTTTTCATGTCTCTTAGCCACCTGTATATCCCCTTGGAGAAGTGTCTGTTAGGTCCTTTGTCCATTTTTTAATTGGGTTGTTTGTCTTCCTAGTGTTGAGTTGTACCAGTTCTTTATATATTTTGGAAATTAACCCCTTATCAGATGTATCATTGCCAAATATGTTTTCCCATACAGTGGGTTCCATTTTCATTTTGTTGATGATTTCTTTTGCTGTGCAAAAGCTTTTTAGTTTGGTGTAGTCCCATCTGTTTATTTTTTTCCTTTGTTTCTCTTGCCCGAGGAAATATATCAACAAAAACATTGTTATGAGAAATGTCTGACATTGTACTGCCTATGTTTTCTTCTAGGATTTTTATGGTTTTGTGACTTACATGTAAGTCTTTAATACATTTTGAGTTTGTTCTTGTGTATGGTCTAAGTTGGTGACCTAGTTTCATTTCTTAGCATGTTCTTTGATGTTTTTGTTTAAAGGCATAGAGACTTCATTTGGGAGTAAAAGTGGTTGTGAAAATGTACAATTATTTTCTAATGGTGAATCAAATTCAACTTCTTCTTAATTAATTAGTTAATAGACTGGACAAGTACTTACTGAGCAATACTATGTGCTTGACCCATGCTGGCCACTTTATGGATATTGTCTAAAGAGAGGGTCTGAGCAACCCTGAGTCAGGCATTGCAAGTCAGTTCCATTTCCCAGACGCAGAAACTGAGGCTCAGAGAAGATGGACTCCATCCAGGTCACACAGGTAGCAACTGGCTCAGCAAGCACAGGGGTCCCAGTCTGTCTACCCTGGAACTCCTGCTTGGTGTGCCGCCCCACACCATTGGGTGTGGCTTCAACCTGCTTTCTTTTCCCGAAGAAGAAAATTGAGGGCCATGGTGATGTGGCAGAGTGAGAACTAGAATTTGGATCTCTGACACCCAGCCCAACGTCCTTTTCAATACTTTGTGTCAAAGCTTTTGGGAGTACAAAAAGCCATGTGATTTGCCAGCTGGTGTGGCTCTGTGGTTGAGTGTCGACCCATGAACCAGGAGGTCACGGTTCAATTCCTGGTCAGGGCACATGCCTGGGTTGCAGGCTCGATCCCCATGTAGGAGGCAGCCGATCCATGTTTCTCTCTCATCATTGATGTTTCTATCTCTCCCTCCCTCTCCCTTCCTCTCTCTGAAATCAGTAAAAATATATTAAAAAACATAAAACAAAAAGCCCTGTGGGGTTGAGGGGGGGGTCGTGCAGACCAAGCGAGCCTTTTCCTGTGCTGCCTTTTTAAAAAAATGCTTACTAAGTCCAGCAAAGCTGCAAGCTCCACCCTAAGTCACCACATCCCCTGAGAACAATTGTGGCAGACAGTTCACAGCAATGTTTCATCGACATGATTTAGCTGAAGCTAAAAGATCAAATCATATCAGGGATTACGTGATGGATGCAGACAGGAAGGGTCTCCTCTCCATGGACTCTCAGCAGAGGCACAAACCATTCTCACCTGAGCTTCAGGAAGGGCTCCTCCACGCCCAAATCCCTTTCATAATTAGGTGTAATTATTCTGTCCTTTGTCCTTGCCTGCACCCGAGTGAGAGTGAGTCTTTAATCTGAGAGCCATTAGAATGGCAGAACAGTGAGGTCACCTCGATTAGGAGCTAATGGATTCTCTACCCTTTGTTCTGATGATAATGGGATGAGAGATGAAATATTACTCTGAGGCTTTAGGGAGAGAATTTATAGGACTCAGGCTGGTGTGTTTTGCAGATTAGGTGGCAATACAGAGGGAGACCAGTTGTAAAGCTTTTTAGCAGTTGGTTTCTTGTGTTATCCTTTTCCATATGGGTCTCCTCACCCCTCTGCCTCAAAGTCCCCCAGCCCCCACCTGGCTTACCTTGCAGGAGTGTATAGAAGGCACCTGAGGCAGACAGGTTGGTGGTTATGGTGACATCATCTTTGCTGGAGGTCTCTACCTGGACATGCACTGAGCTGTCTGTATCACTTCGGAAACTGCTCACCTGGCCAGTAGGGAAGGTCACGTTTGTCAGGCGGCCAAAGCTGTCATACCTGAAAACCAATGGGTAGTTCTGAGTAACAGGAATATAATGGTATTAGAGCCGGGACTTGGCACGTTCTACCTCATGCCACAGTTTTTGTGTGTTCTGCTTTTCCTTCTGTTTAGATGCATTTCCATGTCTCCTCCATCTCCTTACACATCATTTTCAGGATAAGGCTACACTTCCTGATACCGACTGCAGGCAAATGACTTACCTCTATGAGTCTTATTTTCTTAATTCCATAAAGTGGAGAGGATAAGTCCTCTCCTGCCTACCTCCCAGGATTACCATGAAGGACACGTGGATGTGCCCGTAGCTATAAATGAATATTCACCCATGAAGGTAGAGATGATGTAACCATATGCTGACCCAGTCTCAAAGCTGGGGACTCCCATAGCTGGGGTGGGCCAACCTGATGCTTGAATACCCTGTCTAACCCCCCAAGAACTGGTATGCAGATTTTATAAGAACAATACTAAGATGGGGCTTCCCAGGAAGCTATAGATCCTGGGAAAAGGGGACTCGGAATCCAAACCAGGACTCCACTGCCACATAAGCAGGCCAAACAAATAGGCACTTGAAATCTCTTCCCATCTAGATTCCATATCTGGCACCAAGCAGCTATGGATCTGCAGCTCTCACAACTCACAGCTTTGCTCTGGTGTGGTCCATCTGAAGCATTATAATTGCATCTTACTTTGTTTCCCCATTCTCCTGATAATAATAAAAGAAATACCTACCATCATTGAACACCTCCAACATACCAGGTATGGTGCCTTCTCATACAGTCTTTCATTTAAACCTCACAACTAGTCTAAACAGGTATATAATATCTTCCTTTTGGAGGAGGCTCAGGAATTGAGGCTCAGAAAAGTGAAGTCACCTGCTCAAGGTCACACAGGTAAGTGGGTGGAGTCAAAATTCAAACTTTGATCTATCTGCTTCCAAGCTACCACTTGCTTCTCTGTCTCCAATGAGCATGTCTGTCCTGTCTATTTGCAAGTATCCATTTTGTGCTCACCTACCTACTGTAGAGTGGCTGGAAGATGGCAGGGAGTAGGCTATTAACATGTGAGTGATTATTTTTAATTAGGGGAGGCTGAAGTGTAAAAAGGTAGGTTTAAATAGCCTTTTTGCACTTGTGTGTGAATGGGGAAAAACTTCATCCAGATGTCAATATATACTTTGCTTCATGAATCTGCGTGCCATCCTTCTGCAGGGGCCATGCTAATCTTTATCTATTGTTCCAATTTCAGTAAATGTGCTGCCAATATTTCTGATTCCCTCTCCTGCTCAAGCTTGCAGCATGGGTTCATCCACATGTGTCTCCACCATGTACTCTGGGTCTCCCACTGGACTTTGTTTCATGCTTTGCCTTTATTACTGGAGTAAAGCTCACCCCTGGGTCCCTGAGGGTTTTAACAATGGTGAAGTGAAAGGCCAAAAGTTCAGCCATGCTGGTTGTTCTGTGATTCCTTTAGCTGGGCCTAGCTTCCTGCCCCAATCCCTGGGTCCCACAGCTCATGTGGTTTCAGAGGAGGCTTGGGGAATGAGACCAGGCAGGAATTCTCCGAGCCACTTTCTGCCCAAGGTCAGATGTGGGTGCTGCATGGATTCTGCCACCTGCCATCTCTTTCTGTCCCTGTGCCGGGTACTGACCACATTCTTGACACTGAATGGTGACAGTCCCTGGCACAATCTGCCACAGAGGAGGTGTTGGTAAAGTTTAATGACTCATCAATCCTTGACCCAAGACTAAGTCAGAGGGAAGGACTGAGGGGCTTTGGGAAAGCTGAATCTCTGTTGCCGAGGATGAGAAAGGGGAATGGAAGCCCTTTCCAAGATGGCGAGCAACACAGTGGCTTCTACCATCTACCTCATGCCTGGGCTTGTAGGGGCAAGGCTGTGGGGCTGTTACCAGTCCTTTCAGAGCGCCTAAAGGTGGTTAAGGACCTTTAGAAACCTATTTCCTGTCCTGATTTCTCATTTTTCTTCCTAAGTATTGAGTCAGATTCTTGTGAGAAACGGTCAGTCAGGCTTAGGGCCTGGTGGAGTAGCCCGAGACCTGGGCTGTGTCAGAGGTGCTGAGCACCTCTCGGAGCTGGGAAAGGGAGCCGTTCCGAAGGAGGGCAAGTCTGGGGCAAAGATCCGGAATGTTTGCCCTAAGGCCCTTCTCACCTGGAGACTCCCTGGGACTTTGCTCCCCTCCCTCTAGGAGAGGCTGGTGTTCTTTCTGACCCTTTAAGGCTGCTGGAAATTTGAGCAGGAAGGAATGTCACACCAATGTTTGTATGGTTACCTCTTGGAAGTAGAACTGCAGGTGATTTTAATTGCTTATTTGTATGTTTCATGTTCCCAACACTTCCTATAATTTACATGATTATTTTCATGATCAGAAGTGTTTTGATGGCATACAGGGAGCATGTGACCACAGCTACCTTGGGGAGGAGGACCTTGTAAGTTACTGGCATTTAAAGAAGAGTCTCATTACCAGACACCTGCCAATACCCATCTCCAGGCCTTGTCAGTAAAATACTTCTAGGGCACCCCACATTTTTTTATTTAAAAAATATATTTTAGCCCTGACCGATTTGGCTTAGTGGATAGAGCATCGGCCTGCGGACTGAAGGGTCCCGGGTTTGATTCTGGTCAAGGGCATGTACTTTGGTTGCGGGCACATCCCCAGTGGGAGGTGTACAGGAGGCAACTGATCAATGTTTCTCTCTCATTGATGTTTCTAACTCTCTGTCCCTCTCCCTTCCTCTCTGTAAAAAATCAATAAAATATATTAAAAAAACCTCAAAAGGTATTTAAAAAATATATATATATTTTATTGATTTTTTACAGAGAGGAAGGGAGAGGGATAGAGAGTTAGAAACATCGATGAGAGAGAAACATCGATCAGCTGCCTCCTACACACCTCCCACTGGGGATGTGCCCACAACCAAGGTACATGCCCTTGACCCGAATCAAACCCAGGGCCCTTCAGTCTGTAAGCCGACACTCTATCAACTGAGCCAAACCAGTTAGGACGGGCACCCCACATTTTTGAGCCCCAAATCAAAACTCTCTAAGACTGGCTAAGCCCTGGTCATCTTGACTGTACCATTGTCTTATGAGTAAACAGAGCTCTCATCTTTTAAATCAACAGGAAGGTCCATTACAGTCCAAGAAGTTCATGGGATGGATACTGATTCATTCTGGTTCTTTGAACACCTGTTATCCATGTGTATACTTTTTATTAATGAGACTACTTACTCAAACCCTCTACTTTCCTGACCTAACTGGCTAATAAAATTTTTATTATACAATGCAGGACACTTAAAAAGGAAGTTCAGTCTTATAAAGAATTGATAGAGAGACTATTGATTAGGCGTCAGATGTCATTTTAATACTACTTCTAACTAGGCCTTCTTTGTTCAAATGCCACCTCATAAAGCCCTCCCTGGTCTCTCCGGGGAGACTGGCACAGGTCTGTCATAGAATGTGTCCCCTGCCTCGATGCAGCTGATGTACAAGTTGCCTTCTGCTTAGGCCTGGGAGTGCTCGAGTCAGGGCAGGGCTGTGGCGTCAGCCAGCCAGGCTGGGGATCTGGATTCCAGCTCCTGCCAGCGAAGGGACCCTGCAGGACTGGCTCTCAGTTCATCTCTGCTTCCCCAGCACTGAGACCAGCACAGAGAAGACAGGCAGGGAATTTTGGCCGCACAAATAAATCCATGCATAATTGGAAGCACAGGGCCTCTTTCCTGCTCTTTTGGAGAAGAGGGACCATGATTCATGCACATGCTGCCACCTGTAGGACCTGACAGAGGCCTGGCACACAGTAGGCGCATCATCAACATCTGCTGAATGCATGAACACGGAGACAACTGCTTACATTAAATGGTACTTGAGCAAGCTCAGTAGGCATCTCCCTAGAGTTTTTATCCCCAAGACAGAAAGAAGCTTTGCATAAAGGCAGACAATTGTAATTATTATTGAAGGTAGCCTGTAACACATAATTAAATCGAGCCTGAAGAAGATGCCTGAGAAGGCCCCATGCCTTCAAGACCTGGTTTTCATTTTATATGAGATGGCTGAAAAACAGTAATTTCCACTCCTCACATTTTCCATTAGAAGGACTGAATGTCTTAATTAAGTGAACATCAAATGGAACAGCCAATTTATAGAATTTTCTTGTCTCCTATTCATTCATTGCGGTGCCTTCCAGAGCTTGAGAAATGCCACTGGATCTCTCTGCTGCCTGATCGATACCTGCGATTATCCCATTAGATCACCTGCTTCTGCCTCTGCGCGGAAGGGCTGGAACTGCCCATCCTCAAGACCTTGGACACCGTTGCCCTGTGGCCCCCTCTATGGAGCCATTTCTCTTCCTGCTGCACAGCTGCAAAGAGACAGGGGGTGGGAGGGCACCGCTGCCCAACAAGGGACAGGGGGGCAGTTCTCTGCACTCTCTGGATTCCAAGAGGCTGCTCCTGACCTTGGTCCTGTGATTAAGTGACTTCTGGACAATGGTTTAGTTACTTAAAGTACTGGCAAATATTCTTTCTTTCTAGCCAAGAGGAATGAAGGAGCGTGAGGATGTGGGAATAGAAGGTCCTTGGAGCCAAATGGTCTAGGCTTTGAATTCAGACTCTCCACCTGCCAGCAATGGGACTCTACTGGCTCATTCATTTCATTTCTTATAGAGCATGTGTTCCTAGAAGCAAGTGTTCTGTCTTCTCTCTCATCATTGATGTTTCTCTTGCTAATAACCAACCCTCACCACACTGACATTATTGCAGGCAGATTATGCAACCTAACCTCTGGAAGCCTCTATTTTCTCCTCTATAAAATGAGGGTAAGGATACCTATCTTAGACAGAGATTGTGGAGGTCAAAAGGTAACATATTTAAAAGGAAATGCCAATGCTTACCCGGGCCCACAGGACCCAACAAGGCTTCTTTCACTAGTCTGTCAACCTCCTGAGGGAAGGGACTTTGTGTGGTCACTGATGCATCCCAGAACTAA